CTTAGCATGATCCTTGGCTGTATCACATGTGCTTTCATACCTTTAATCTTGACTACTTCAGAGGGAGGTTGGAGGATAAGATGTCAGAGGGAAGAAAGATACCGGGGATCCACTAATTCAGCCCACTTACTCTATTGAGGGAGAAGACCTAGAGAAAGCAGGAGACTCACTCCAGGCCACGCAGTGACCTGTGATGGATCTCTTACCTACCCAGCTGCCACTGCTACCACAAACCACCTCTCAACATCCTACTAAAAATGTGACAATTGCCTTCAGTTAAGAATCAGCTGCTCCTACTCATTTGCTATCTGGGTACTACCTTGTCTTTCAGCGTCAATGAAAATGGTTAGTAAAGGCTTAATAGACTTCCAGCAGCAACTACATGCTCTAAATAATAGTCAATATATGCAAAGCACTATCTAAGTGCTCCATAAAACTTAACTCATTTTATCCTCAACAGCCATGCTATGAAGTTGGTGGTATGGTCATTCCTGTTACGGAGATGAGGAGGCTGAGGCATTGAGATGTTAATAGAAACTGCCAACTATATCACCCAAATCAAATCCAAAGTGACATCAGTCATTTTGTAAAAGATGTAAGATTTCTTTTTTACAAAAGATTTTATTTAGTTAGTTTTAGAGAGCAGGGAAGGGAGAAAGAGAGGGAGAGAAATATTGATGAGTGAGAGAAATACTTCTCACATGCATCCAACTAGGGACCTGGCCCACAACCCAGGCATGTGCCCTGACCAGGAATTGAAGCAGTGACCTTTTGGTCCAATGGAACGACTCTCAACCCACTGATCCACACCATTCCAGGCAAAAGGCATAAGATTTAATAAAATTGATGAAGGTAATGTTAGATTCTGCTTGAACGACACAAAGCTGTTGACAAACCAGTAACTGGAAGACACTGTGAACTGAAATGCAGAAGTGAAATAAGAGAAGGTTAATGAGAAAATAGGAGATTTTTTCAACTATTAAATTTACTTTATTATTTTTTTTTATTGTTGTTCTGTTACAGTTGTCCCCATTTTTCCCCTGTTGTTCTCCCTTGCCCTGTCTAACCCCTGGTCCTATTTAAACATCAAAATTCTTTGGGGGAATTAATGAAGTCTCTTTCTTTCTTTCTTTCTCTCTTTCTTTCTTTCTTTCCTAAACATACATGATCTTATTTAATACAATTTTATGAAATCCAAATGTGAATTGAAAAATATTATGGTGTACTGTAGTATAATTTTGCATATAAAATACAGTAAGACTTCCTCATATTCTAAGATTTATCTCATTGTTGTACAACCATAATCTGGTGTCTTTTTTGTGTCCAAGTTTCCTCTTGTCATAAGGACCCCAGTCAGGTTGGAGCTGGGCCCACTGCAATGGCCTTCCGTCAACTCAGTTATGTCTTTAAAGGCCTTGTCTCCAAGTATGTGTTCTGAGGTGCTGGGGGTCAGGATTTCCACTATGAATTTGGGGGGATAAACACTTTAGCCCATTGTCACAAACCTTCCAGAAAAGTCCAGAATGGTGACTGAACTTATCTTTTGAGTGATCTACTAATGTTTACTAATGACTGTTGGTGAAAAACCTGACTAGCAGGTGGGGAAAAATCTCATCACATTATTGTACATCTTTTGTACCTGACCTCCACCTTTTTTCTCATTCTCACTGCTCTGGCCTTGCAGTTTCAGATAAAGTATCACCATGTTCATCCTTGCCCGAGACTCTGCTTTCTAAGGGAAAGGGGTTAACATAGTGCTCATCCAAGGGGACAGCTGAGATAGGGCTCCGGATCTCATGATCTTTTCCTTCTCTTAAATTTGCTACTCATTCGTCAATGTTTTACGGGGTCTGTGATAAGCAAAGCATTGCCAGGCCCTCAAGAAATACTGCAATGAACAAAAAGTAGCCTGGAGTCAGGCACCTACAATCAAGTGGGGGGGATATGACCTCATACAACATCCATATGAAAAAACATGGAAGCATGACTTACTGCGCGAAACAACACCTTGTCTCTTAGAAAGTATATATATATTTTGCAATTTATGCCTAGATGCCAACTTCTGAGATATGCCACTTGGTGGATTAAGAAGGCATTCTATATCAATAACATCCAAATAACTAGAAACTACAGACCAACAAGGCGGATGCAATACCTAAGCTGAATAGTTGTGTTAAAGACCAAGGGCGTGGATACATGTTTGTAACGCAGCCCTTCCTGAAGGCTTGCAAGGCAGCCGAGCGTGCTTTTTGAGTGAGCTGCTCTTTACTAACAACTTTCAGGCAAACCTGGCTAGCGTGATAGCAAAGAAAATAGCACAAAAGCTTAATAAAGTTTTTTTTAAGATTTTATATTTATTTATTTTTAGAGAGGGAAGGGAGGGAGAAAGAGATAGAGAGAGAAACATCAATGTGTGGTTGCTGGGGGTCATGGCCTGCAACCCAGGCATGTACCCTGGCTGGGAATCGAACCTGTGATGCTTTGGTTCGAAGCCCGTGCTCAATCCACTGAGCTATGCCAGCCAGGTTAATAAAGTTTTTATTATACAAAGAACTGGTACCTGGTTAAGAAAATAGGCCAAGGGTATGTACTAAAAAATTAATGGAAAAAATAAGACAATGGCCCATAAATATACAAAAGTATATTTCAATGTCTCCAATTGCTATGTGAAAATAGATGAAAATATTCAATCTTGGAAATAAAGCAACATCAACATATTTTACATAATAATTTGGCCAAACCCAAAATAGTATTACTTAAATTGGCAAGAGTGTAGTGAAATGGTTATTTACACATATTCACTACAATTAGGAATTTAAATTGGTAAAACTTTCTGGAAAGCAATTTGGAGCTAAGTTCAAATGCTCAATTAGTTTAAATTTGTTGAACTAATGCCACAATTTAATTTCATTTATGTATCTTAGGGAAATGAATAGTTATGGCCCAGAAAGCTCATTACAGAATTTATTTTCTTTGTATTTGTACCAATGTGTTTAAATATAGAAAAAGAATACAAAGAATAGTATCAGAAGCATTAATAATGTGCTCATTACAAAAAAAATTAAAGAGGTGTGGAAAAAAAAGAAGTGGTTTGAATAAGTGGTAGGATTCTGAGTGATTCTGTTTTTTTAATGTTAAAGTTTCTATTTTTTTCTATTCTAACATTATGTGCGATAAAATAAGATTTAGCATGACTTTGTTCATTCTTTTGATTCTTCTTCACAGTTGGAGTTGTATTCAAGAGCCCTTATTCCTAGAGACCTAGGTTCAAATGCTGACCCCTCAGCCCCAGTGCAGCCTTAGCAAGACTTTACCTAGCCAGGTCTCACACCCTTACCTGCAAAACAGCAGTAACTATACTGGAGTTGAAGCAGTTGCTCTGAGGTTCGGTCAAGGTCACCTATGTAAAGTCCCTTGTGCATCCCAGTTACTAAACTAGAAGCTCTTTCCTCCATCCTCCAATATACATCCAGGTGGGTTAGGGGGTAAGTCCACTTTGGGTTCCCTTGGGGGGTGGAGTGGTCTCTGGCCTGAACTCCAGAGCACCTCTATCTCAATGAGCAGACACTCTGGTTGCTAACGTTGCCTCCGTGGAGGACGCCGGCCTTGGAGGACTCGCGGGCTGGGGCTGTGTGTGGCACTGTGCTGAGGGAATTTCCTCAGGCCGAGGCAGGGCACCTTTTCTATTTCCCAGACACCTCTGCCACTGCCTTTCATCCCAGGGCCCGGGAGAAGGGAGTTTGATTGGACCTGTCAGCATCTCTAAGGAGGCCACTTAAGAGTCATTTGAAGAATTCCCACACCCAAGAGCATTTCAGAGCAGCTGGGAAGACCCAAGCAACCTTGACTCACAGGCCCAGGCCTGGCGTATGCCTGCTGGCTTCCAGTGCAGAAGAGTCTGGTCTGTCCGGGATTGTCAAGGCGCTTCTCCGTGAATGAGTTACTGGTTTTGCAGCTCATCACGGTAGCAATAAATTCCACACAGACTAATCAGACAGGGGGTCCTTTTCTGCGTGAAACATCATCATTGATTATAATATTGATGAATATAATGTGTAGAAAATAATATCAAATAACAAACTCTTCTTATGCTCCAAGCACTCTGCTGGAAGCATCACTTACCTCATGTCTAACCTTCCACAAGATATACAGAGTCTGGAGCAAATAACACCCCTTTTCATTACAAAATCTTTTGTCACAAAATCATAAGCACATAATTCTGTAACATAACAATATCACACTCAAGCACTCCATATGACATTTTAGGTGAAATGTTCAAATTGCTGCCCACCTCGTGTGAGACATTCACGTACCCTACCAACCACACTCAAGCAGATTTTACTTCTGTCAGACCCTGTATATTACAACCTTGCAAAATAAGAATTATTATTCCTCATCTATTTAGAGATGAAGAAACTGAGGTTCACAGAGGCTGAATGACTGGCTTTCCAAAGGTCACTCGATGGAGGAGGCTTGATTAAAATTTAGGTCTATTTTATTTCAAATCCTGTGCTTTTAAAGCATGACTCTGACTGCCTCTTAGTAAACATAAAGATAGTCTGAATGGGGAGAAATATGGGCAGTCACCAATATTAAGAGCCAAGATATGGGGAAAAAAAGCCAATTTCCCTGGACTGATGTTTGAGTTAAAAGGTTCTTGCTGGTATGAGCCACAGTTAAACCGGCACCAATTAGAGTCAAGTGTAATGAAAAATAAATACAGCTGAGCTGTTAGACTAGCTGCTATGGTCCAGCATCTGTCAGCACTTCTATTATACACTGAGTTTTTCAAGGAATTATAAGGGCTGTAAAAATGTGTGCTATGGTGGAACTTGGCAGGGAAAAAAAGTTTCCATTTGAAAAGCTTTTCAAACAAATTTTCTAAAGTTTCAAAAAATTAGGTTTGACACTTCAGTCATGAAGTTAGCAACCATTTAAATAGTCTGACACCTTTTAATCAACCGCTGGAGTGAGAAAGGAGGCAGGAGCGGGACACACACCTTTGTGGGAGTTCCGCGAGCCTCCGTCAGGGGCCTCCGCCTCCGCGCTTTCTCCTGGACAGTGTCCTCGGTGTCCACGGCAGCAGCGGGGTGCCATGGTCCAGGGGACTGAAGAGCAGGCTGCGAGGGCCCAGCAAAGACCCTGGTTCCCGATGCTGGGCAGACATTACGTCGAATGCACCAAGGTGGTCCTCAGAAACCCAGTGCAGACCGGAGCTCAGCTTCGGTGGAATGATCTCCAGGCTGGAGGCTGACGACCGTCACGGTGAGGCTGTGGGAAAGGGGTTGGAGCTGAGGGGGTCGGGGCCAGGGAGGCTTGAGGGGATGTAGGGGCTGTGTAATCTGGTTGCAGATAAAGGAGAGTCAGAAGGTCTTGTTTTCCTTTATTCAATTAGGAGAACTCTAGACTTTTAGATAGAAAACCATTGTGCCACGGTCTAAATGTTTGTGTTCCACCAAAATTCCAATCTTGAAACCCTAGCTCCCTAAGGTGATGGTATTAGCAGGTGGGGCCTTTGGGAGGTAATTTTTCATGGGGGTGCAGCACTGATGAATGGGATTAATGCTCTTACAAGAGACCCCAAAGAGCTCCATAGCCCCTTCTGCCCCGAGAGGATGCAACCAGAAGTCTGTGACCCGAAAAAGGACCCTCAGCCCATCTTGCTGGCAACTTCATCTTGAACTTTTGGCCTCCAAAACTTTGAGAATTAAATTTCTGTTGTTTGTGAGCCACCCAGTCTATTGTATTTTGTTACAGCAGCACAAGCGGACTAAAACACACGATGGGGCCTTTAGCCCGAAGTGCGCGCTGCCTAATCACTGCCTTAGTTAATATGATTCTGGGTGGCGCATGTCAACTAGCGCAGGAGTAACAGGGTAGAAGCACCGTGTAAACTTTGCAGAGCTATGCCGATATACTGAACCACAATCATAATGAATTATTTGCTGATTCTTTCTGAAGGGTCCTTTCCTAACAGCCAGGCATTATAAAGGGGAAAAGCAAGCAAGACACATCATCTACACACAAAACCCTAAAGAGCAGGTGCACTAAAAGACATATGGATAAATGCCCATGTCCAAGGCAGAGGGTGTGGCAGCCAGGAGGCAGTAGGCTGGAAACAAGCCTTTGCCCCCAAAATTTTACCAGGAATGTTCTGGGAAAAAGAGTTACCATTAAATTCCATCCAGACATATCCAGGGTCCTCCTTCATCCAGAATCCCACCATTGTCTATCACTATGGCCAGGCAGGGTCTTGGTGTTGCCGGCCGTGGTGGGTTCGCAGCTAATGCCAGAGTCAGCATTCAGGTGGGGTTTCTGCATTGCGGGGCTCCCCACGGAGCTTATTAAAGTGCAGAGACTCTGGTTCTCTTCACAAAGATTCCTACCCTGGAAGTAACGGCTCTGGAACCCGACCTTCTAAGAAACTTTCCAGAATGCTCTGTTAGACGTGAGCCACATGGCCACACTTTGAGAAACGCTGAGTTTAGACTTCTCTGACATAGCCACAGGAACACAACATGTCAGAGCTGGAGATCTCCAATGTAACTTGCTTGTTTCCTTGCTGGGAAAGCTCTGTCGAGGCGAGCAGACCGGTGTTCACCGAACAGGTAGCTGGAGCCCACGCTGCGTTAGCCTCCCACCCAGGCTGTCTCACGGGAACCTCACACTGGGTCCAATCCTTCCACCGAAGGCACTGAGATACGTGCAACTTGGGATCTACACATTAAGCTGTCTCTGCTCTAACAATTGGCAGCTGAAGTCACAAAAAGTAAAAACAAGGAGTCAGGAGCTACTGTATATTCCTGTGTTCCATGTACAATGGAGTCCTAAGAGCCATCTACCAATTATTTAATTTGGGGGATTGCTTCTTTTATCATCCCTCAGGAAGTACTTAAACGTCTACCTCTCTCGGCAAGCTCCTTATCTTACTCCAGCCTTTCACTCTTAAAGAAATGCCTGCTCACAGGCAAGCTCTGAAACAAGATCAGCCAATCATGTGTCATGGAAATGACATCGGGATTGCAGGGGCCACATGTCCTCAGGGCCTGATGGCCCGCACTCAGAAGGCAGTACCAGTTAGAATTTAGTTTTGCAGTTGTACTCAAAGGAGAACAGGGGTCCAGGCTGTAGCACGTCCCTGATGCCAGAGAAGCTGGCACTTCTGCCTGTTGGCTGCTCAGTTGAACTCGGGTTAAGCAAGTGGCCATGCATCGGCTCAGTGACCCTGTCAGTCGTGTTCGTGGTCTGCTCCCATCCTCCCTGTCAACTTGCATAACCCTGATGGTTAGTTCTATGACACGTGACTAGCTGGTCCTGCTTCAGAGCTTGCTGTGACAGACACAGTAAGTCAATGTGAAAAACCAGTGAGCTGGTGGCTCACAAATGCACACAAGGAAAAAAACAGAGGTTTAATTTTTTCCTGCCTTCTCAACATTTCTTTCTCTCTGTAAATGTTTGGTTGGATGACCTTAAGATGTGTTATCTGGATTTACAGGGTATCGTAGGACCAACATACAAGCTACTAGTCCAATGTGGATAGTAGGCTTTGGGGAAAATTGATTTTTTTTCCTGAATTCATTCTGAATATTTGAAATGTACACTCGTACAGTCTTTCAGACCTATCCAAGTGATGCCTATGATGTCGTTATTGTGTACTCATCACACATTGCTGCAAAAACTGGTATTGTAGACCTATTTTCTGAGATCTTTTAAGCTAAAATCACATGCAAGAATTGACTTTGCAACTATTAGTTTTGACACCTTTTAGATCTGTATGAAAGTGTGTTGTGTTGATGCAGCAAGCCAATGAGCGCAGCATTTCGGATATTTAGTTTTATCTTTAGTTAAACTGTACCTGGTGTATTCATTTATACCATCTACTATATGACACAGCATTATAGTATGTAAACTTTTGTAATATTTATTTCCCCTTTGTATTCATTTTAAGCATCTATATAAATTGCTGTATTGTGGTTTAAAAAATTCCTGCGCTATTGCTGCTCTTTATTCAATTTCTTCATTAAGAAAATTGCCACCAAAAGCCATAATCTCCCTCAACTTCCTCTCCACCAGCCACAGATTTATCTACACCCACCTCACTCTCAACGTCCTTTAGTCTTTAAAAATGGGCTCCCTTTTCCCCTGCGGGAAGACCTCTTTCCCCTAGCCTTGAACTTCAGTTTTCCCACTGTACTGAGTTCATTAATTGCCCACTATGCCCACCTGTGTCTTAATCATCATTTTATCACTCTCTTTTTGGATTATAAACATGTCCAAGCCTCTTTGGTACTAAAACATAACCTCTTTTGATATTGTATTTCCTTTTAGTCACTGTTTGACCTCTCTTCTTTCCCTCTCCAAACTTCTTGAAAGACTGTTCTTCATTCTTATCTTCCATTCGCTGTTGAACCCATTTCAATTTGGCCTCTAGTCACTTTCCTTTAGTGAAATTCATTTCACTGAGACTACCAGTGATGCACCTTTTGCCAAATTCCATAGGTAGTTTTCAGTCATCCATCATTTATAAAATAGAGATATTAATATTTATTTCATAATGTTGTTTTAACAATTAGTGTATAAACATTTAATAGATAATTTCCTTTCTCTTTCTCTTCCACTTCCTCCTCCTCGTCCTTCTTATTGTTACTGCCATTGTTACCATTATTTCAGGGCCTTCCAGTTGTACTTGACACCATCAACCATTTCATTTTGGGGGAAACTCTTGAATTTTATGACCTCATATTGTCTTAATGCCCCTTGTCCTTGACTATCCTTTGTTCCTCATGCCCAACAGTCCCCTCTGTCTTTTTCTTTCCCAAATAATCTACCTTTGGTCCTTTTTTCATCTTACTGTTCACGCTTTCCCTGGGCAAACTCTTACATTCTCTTTCTGCCGGTTGCCATTGACATGCCGATAAATCCCGTGTTTTCCGCCTAACCCAGACAGGCCCCGAACCGTGCGTCCAACCTTCCTGCACTGAGGAGCTTGGCACATCCGAGACCCTCAGGACTTGGCTGGCTCCAGAAAGCCGCAGCCAGCTTCCTTCGTCTGTAGTAAAGCCTGGGGCACGGCAGCCTTGACTCGGACAAGCCTGTGTGTGTGTGTGTGTGTGTGTGTGTGTGTGTGTGTAAGGGAAAGCTCTAGGCTCCGCTGCCTTCTGTTGGAGAAGGAGCACATTTGGCAAAGTGGGGCCTTGGGCACAACTGCCAGATGGCACACAGCCACCTGGAGAGGAAGGGAAGAATGAAGGAGAGGAGGCGCCTGCGCTGTCCTCAGACAGAGGGGATTAAGAAAGTGACCTGGAGGGCCTTGGGCCTTATCTGTCAGAAACCATCACGGAGACAAGCTGAAATGTAAAAGCCCGAGAGACTCAAGTGGAAGTTTGTTTCCAAGTGCAATTCACAATGAAAATATCTCATATGCTTAGCTTTCAGCTTTCCATAAATGTGGGCAGAACGTTGGCACGTGAAAATGCCACATCCCTAAATATGACATAGGACAAACATGTAAGTGTTCCGATTCTGGATTTAGACAGATCTAGGTTCGAGGGTTGGCTCCTCTCGCTAACTTCTGACTTTGGTAAAGTGATTTAACATTTCTGAGACTCAGTCGTCCCTAACATGTGACAAAAGTTGCCTCAAAGGACTCGTCGCTCAATTCAACATCTATTGAGAGTCTGAGAAGCCCCTGGCACCACGATAGGTGCTGACGTGCCCTGGTGACTCAGACACGCCCCTGCTCTCAAGGACCTGGAGAACAGAGGAGGGTCCTGACGCACTCGGGAAGGGGGTGCTTTTGTGGCCCCAATGGGTGCAGACAAGGAGTCCGGCATCTGCTCAGGCTTCTGGCACTGAGCACCAGGAAGAGGGTGGGGATTCAGGGGAGATCCAGGCCCAGAGCAGGAACTATATAAGCTCAGTTCCGACCACAGAGAATGTGAGGTCCGTGCAGCAGTGATGAGTAGGACAGTAGGGCCCGGTCGCCTGGAGAAACTTTGCAGTTAGAGAGAAATAGTTGGAGTCTTTAGGACAAACAAGTTCTGCGAAACCCCAGAATGGGTGATAATGCTCAGAAAAAGCGTATTCAAAAGGCTAATGTGAATCTCCCAAAACAGTGCCATAGAAACCAGGGCCAGCGGAAGAGGAACTACGAGAGGGGTCATCACACAGATTAGAGGACACGCTGGAGATGTGGGACTGCAGAAACCAAGAGATGTGAGAGAGTCAGTTTTTAATTCATTCAAGGAAAAGGAAGAGGCCAAAATACACCA